TTTTAAGCAAGTTTGCAACTCCACTAACAAGACAGATGGAAGTCTGCCTTATGAATACCATCAATGAAGTATTAACATTCGCCATCGTTGCTTATTTCCAGAAGACAGCAGGGAAGACCAATATGAAGCTGAGGGAGAATTAACCCTTCCAAAGGGAAAATACTGTTCAGATAGTTGTGCAAGAAACAAGAAATCTAAAAGCAAAATTAGGTAATACGGTATTTAGACTTGCAAAAAGCCCAGCACAAACTTTAGATAAAACAACTCTATGTTCTACAACTACACTGAAAACTCGGTATATTCCTGAACATGTCCCATGTGAACTACTGATAGCATCTGAACGTGTAATTTCCAAAAGTGTAATTGCCAGTGTTTGTTTTTTTTCAACAATGGAAGTGATACTGGCATTTTAGAAAGGAGTCCGTAACAGATAAAGCAATTCTGTGTCTAATTCATCATAAGCTACCACGGCAGGTAGATTTCTACACATTTCTAGAGGCATCTATGTTTCTATGTGCAACAGTCCAGAACTAAAAGTTGTGCATAGCTGTCTTAAATACAGGTACACTGAACTCGAGACATCTGTGAACGCTACATGGCCACAAAAGCAATCCAGAATAAACCTTTACTGTAGGATATACTCTCTGGGACACCAGCTCCTTATATGCCAACAGCCTTGTGTGAACAACAACAGAGCTGCTGGAAGTGCAGAGGTGGCAATCCATTCAGCTTATGAGCGACTGATTCCTTTTGTATTACATCACTGAACTACCCATTAAGAAGCTGGACTGACAGGATCCAGAATATGCATAGCCAAGCCCTCCATGGTAAACGAGAGCGTTCAAAAAGATTAAGACTCAAAAAAATTGGTGATTCATCAGGGCGTCAAAAGAGCATTTCCCCAATTCCCTGTTCCAGGCCAAGCAGAGAGCCACATATTAGTAACCTCTGTCAGACTTCCAATTTTGGAGTTAATTGCCGTTCCTGAAACACATACCCAGACACAAAATACCTGCAGCAGCACACATCACAGAATGAACACTGTCATGGCTCTCCTAATCGCACAATTATGCTGTATTACAGTCACACCTAATTTAAGTACTCCAAAGTACCTTTGTTGTCTGTAGGTATTACTCTGTAGTGTCTGCTTCTGAATGGAGAGGCACTCTCCTTTGGAAAGGGTATATAACACACATAAGTGTGAAAGACCAGTGATTCTATAAATCCTTTGCTCCATCACATCACCGAAACTTATGAAATATCAGTTAGCAACCTATTAACAGAGTATGTTTCTATCTTGCACTACTTTGTGGAATTTGAGTAGGTTAATTTAAATGAATGGGTGGAACAGAAATCAACTTCTACTTTGTTTCTAACAAGTTCATCAAACTTACTGGTTTTAGACACAATGTTATCATGAGCCAAAGTCAGCATATCCTTAAAGAGAAAGAAACAGATTGCTGGAGTAGCAATGGGTCTTCTTCAATTATCCAGTATTTATACAACCAAAATATTTTTGTTGACCAGGTGAAATATCACTGAATTTTATATTCAGTTACTCTATTTTTGTGTTTGACTGTTATAACACTAGTTTGCCTTGAGTCTAGCACAAAGGAATTAACACACAGCAAAAGAAAACAAAGGTTTCCCAACACATTAGTTTGAAAATGTTGTAACTGGTACCTTTGATAAAGCACATTACCAGTTCAGAGGGAAGAAGTTGAGTACACGAGCGTCTTCTCTTTTCTGAGGGATCACATAAAACTAGCACTGTTCTCATCAGATATAGTGCTACAGTTCCAAAGTTTAAGTTTTACATCACTTTCCCCTCCCTAATTTAATGACTAGCTTCTGTAGTGAAACCCACCCTTTTAGATCATGGACTCAAATGATAGTATTAATTTCAGCATGTGTATGCCTTGCTTTAGTAACAATGCTGCTCATATACCTTACTACAAGAGTAGCTTTTACTCCCATCTTCCACACAGCTCTCCACATATCATTGCCTCTTTCAAAACTGCAGGAGAAGGGTTAACTTTCTTCCTTACAACGTCCTGTTTTGTAACATCCTTTCTTTCCGACTCATACCTGTGTGTCCATTCTGAATACAGATATGTGAGACTTCCACTACTCCTGTAAGTTGAATATCACTGATTACACACAGGAAAAAATGCAGCCTGAGATTATTTTCTACAGTTATGTCTAAGAGTTACACAAATTTGTTGTCTAAAAATGTCATTTTGCGAGTAAATGCTTAAAGGAACAGAACAGTCTACAAACCACATTTTTTTCAACACCTTACGTCATCTAACAGTTCCTCACATGTGCATGTACATGCACAGACACAGAAATCACACTCCCAAAGCTTAACATTCTCCAGACTTGAAAATACTTTTCTTTGCTTTTCTTCATCAGGTCTCTTTGCCTTTTTCTCTCTGCCAGCAATAGCCTTCCTGCCACTGCATTTGTGAGGTGCCTCTACGGCCACCTTTGCCCCTCCAAGGCAGGACTGCTCTTCTTCTTCAAGATCGATAAGGCCGCAGCCTTTGGAAAACCTGCTCCTTCCAACACAGGCGCTAGAAAAGGTAAGTCAAGTGCTCTGTGTGCTTATTTGTGTACCTCACCTGTTAATTTACGAGAATGTGAATGCCTGATGAATATATACAGACACCATGGAATTAAACATTAATGGCGCTGAAGGTCCTAAAAGCCACCTAGTTTACAAAAAATGAAACTGATGGAAAACATCTACACTAATTACTTTGGTTTTTTATAACTCCTTTTTTGCTACCTTTCAGCTGTCACGTTATATTTGTCACGCATTATGGTCAGAAACATGCCTTTTCCGTGTCTAGCATGTGCATTTTGTGAGGTAATGTAATAAATATTTAACAAAGAGTTTATATTACCATGCCAATTAAGCTCTCAACTGATTTAAAGCCAAAGCCACTATGAGATACGAGACTTAATAAGAGACGCAGCAACAGATCTCCACGGAACATGTAGATTAGACAAGCCTGACTGTATTTACTTTGCATTTTAGCAAATAAACCAAGTAGTTAATTTCACTCTAATCGAATAAGACATCATCGCTAGAAACTGCCTACATGGTTACTGCATGTCTCAAAGAAACAAAAAACCGCAACAAAATCCCAAAGCCCCCACAACTGCCTCCACTTCCAGATCCTCTGACTTGGCTCTGTAGTGAAGCAGATTTAAGTTCCAGCCACATATCTAAGCAATATACATAATATCTACATATCAGTCACTGCTACCTTTCGATGTGTATATTTGCACCAGAGCAAGCCACAAAAAGCAACCAAGGCAGCACGTACTTGTGCTGACACCTTTATTCCCTTCAGGTGTTTGTGTTTAAACACTTAAAAAAAAATACAGAAAAAATTACAAGATAAACAATTCAGTCTAGCTCAGAACACTGTGTGTGCTTAAGGACTTGACTACATACCACGAACACATATATTATTAAGGAACATTCAAGAGGTCAAATGTTTTCTCTTAAGTCATTTAAGTAAAACTTTTACTTCAGTTCCCATAAGAATTATTTTCCCCCCAAATTATAAGACTAATTAAACGTAAAAATAATTGTGGCTTCCATATAAGTAGTATACGCAGGTAAATGACAATACACCTGGAAGAATGACATTTTCTAGACATTACATATAAAGCATACCTTTTTCTAGATGTGTTTTATCAGGCCTCCCCCTAGTTTTCACCTTCCTTTCACATCCCACAAAAAAAAAATTAAAAAAAAATAGAAAATATCACTGTTGTTGTAATAACTACAGTGATTAAGCTGATTAACTTCATATCTCAAGAATTAATTTGAAGAAATGCTTACAAGTCAGCAGGGAGAAGTGAAAGTTCAACTGATAAAAACAGTTACCGGACCAGAATCAAAACCCAAGAGTTGTGAAATCCCAGCAAGTTAAAAACCAAATAGGAATACAACATTCTTTGACCTTTGAGAATTTATCCAAACTGTAAAAACCAGATAAGTTGGACATGAAACTTAAACCACACAACAGACCTTTCAATAGCAATCCCTGAGGCACTACTCAAGAAAGATCCCTTCTCCAGTTTTACTAAGGATTCACACAGAGGCCAACAAAAGTAGGCCAGCAACAAGACACAGAATCAGAAGCCAGAATTCCCATGGTTTTACCCCAACTGTGACTCAAGTTTAAACAGTGGTTTTGAACCCAGCTCTCTCTCTGTGGCCACAGGCAAGTCTTAACCACTCTGCCTCAATTCCCTCACCTGCAGAATAAAAATAATTATACTTATCTGCCACACAGGAATCTCACACAACAAACACTGTCTGGCAAGTGCACATCTGTTTAAACTGCGGACAGAGCTACTAAGTGCTAGTTCTGAGCACCTGCACAAACTGAAACTGAGAGTGAAAACAACTGGGACGAAGCAGCTACCGAAGGGCCAACACCACCACCACAATCCTGGGGGCAACACACCGTCTGCGCGGCGCCTGCTCTGGCAGGTGTTGAGAAGTTCACCTGCTCGGGACACAGCTCGGGAAGACGTTCGTGTGGGAAATCGGCGCTGCCCGGAGCAATGGGCCGGGGGCTGCTCCGGGGGGTCCCATCGCCCCCGGGTAGGTACTCGGGTAGGCTCCGGGCGGGTCCCTCGGCACACGGCGGCGCGGGGGCAAAGCTCAGCCGCCGTGCCCGGCCCGCAGTGCGGGAGCGGCCCCGCGGCCCGCCCGCCCTGCCCCCGCCAGCCCCACGCCGGGATTCTCCTCCCGCCGCCGCCGCTCCCCCGGGAGCCGCCTCGGGTGGGAAGATGGCGGCTCCGGCCGCCTCCCCGCAGCGAGGGGGCGGCGGGGCGGCGGGGCGCCGGGGGAGGGTGTCGCTCCCGCCGTGGCCCCGCCATCCCCCCCCGTGCACCGGGAGCGGCGGGTGCGAAACGGCCCCGGCGGGCGCCGCCGCCCGGGGGGCGCGGGCCGGGCGGCCCCTCGCACTCACCTGTCACCAACAGCCACCGCCGCCCGCGGGCCGGGGCTCGGCGCGGGGGACACGGGCGGGCACGGAGGGGAGGGGGGGGTTGGCTCCGCCGGCGCGGGGGCCTCTCGCCTCTCTGCCGCGTTCCCGCTGGCGCCGGGGCCTCTCTCGCCGCCGCGCCGCCGCCGCCGCCGGGGCCTCGCCGCCGGATGCCGTGAGGAGGAGAGCGGAGCGCGGGGCGGGGCCGAGGGGGGCGCGGGGCGGCGGCAGCGCCGGGGGCGGGCGGGGCGGGGGCGGCGCGGGGGCGGCGGCGGCGGCTCCGGGCCCGAAACGTCTCCGAGCCGAGACTCAACCACCCGCTCGCATGAGAGACCCGCTTCCGGCTCCGGGCGGAAGTCCCACCCCCGCCGGCGGAAGGGATTGGCCGGCGCTGCCGCCTCGCGGGGCGGGCGCGCGCAGGACCGGGCGGTGCCGCCCGCGGATTGGCCGAGCGTGGAAAGGGGGGGGAAAGGAGGAGAGCGCCTGGGGCGCGCGCGCGCTCGTGCGCGGCGTGTGACGCGCGGAGCGGCGCGTGAGGCGCCTGACGTCACCCGGCGGGGAAGGGAGCGCGGAGGGGGGGCGGGGCGGGGTCGGTGCAGCCCGACCGCGCCCGCGCCCCGAGGAGGTTTGTCCCCTCGCGCGCGCCGTAGCCCCGCCGGGATCAGGCGGGAAGGGAAAGGGAAGGAAAATGGAAGGGGAAGGTCGAGTTGCCTCTGGTATGGGGGCGGCGGCGCCTCCCGCCCTGGTGGTACCGAGTGTGTGTGTCCGGGGGCACCGTCCCGCCGCCCCGGCCTAGGGCAGCGCTGAGCTGTGGGGGCACGACCGGCGCTCTCAGAGACGGTATCTCGGTGTCCCCTTCGAGCGCTGCCGCAGCAGGTGCCTGTCCGGGGTTACAGACCCTTCCACAGGGTATTCCAGATCTGAGTACAGAAGCTCCTGAAGAATAAGGCTGAGCAGTTGTGGCTTCAAAAGGAAGGGATATGTGCAAATAGGAGGGTTTTAAGAGAAGAGTCTTTAATGAAAGAGCCTTCTGTTCCGTGTGGGTTATGAAAGCCTGCAGAGCGTTGTCTCATAGAATCACAGAATGGCTCGGTTTCTTTAGGGAGGGACCCTAAAGATTATCCAGTTCCAACCCCCTGCCATGGGCAGGGACACTTTGCAGTAGATGAGGTTGCTCCAAGCCCTGTCTAGCCTGGCCTTGAACACTTCCAGGGATGGGGCAGCCGCAGCTGCTCTGGGCAGCTTGTGCCTCACCACCCTCACACTGTTCATCGTGCAGAGGAAGAGAAGACAGAGGAAGCAAAGGGCTGAGGAACAATCCTGACAGACAAAGGATTTATCAGAAAGACGGGGTTGTTAAGCAGTATCCAGACACTGCTTCCCTCTGACAGTGGGTTCCTCTCTGCTGCTCCTGCAGCGTGACAAGCAAAGAAACTCTGCTAGGAAGTAAAATGCATTTTGTTTGAAGGGGCTTCCTCCTAGGCTGGAGAATGCCAGATTGGATTGAATAATATGCACAGAAAGGAAAGGGAATACAAACTAAGACAGGGGTAAGCACAGGACATTGTGGTAGATGAGGGACTTTTGCCACAGGTAAAGTCTCTGTAGGACTCTTCTGACTCCCCTGACTTTTCAACCTCAGTTTACCAAGCTGGGGAATAGAGTATATCTTCAGTTATATAAAACTGCAGTGAATTCCACAAGATTCAGGAATTCTTTTGTTTGACGAAAGAACAAATGAGTCTTGTTAAACAGTCCTAGTTATTTAGTACAGATCATCATTTGTTTCTAACTACAGTTAATTAGGCAAATGGAAAACTTGTGGTTTCTTCTCAGGACTTAAAAAAAAAAAAAAAAAAGTCTGGTAAGGATCATCCTATCATCTTCCAGGACTGCTCCCAGTCCTCAACTCATCTTCAATTTCAGGAGTGGCAAAACTACATCACCTTACAATCAGTTGTCAATAATTACCTGTACCATGCATTGCTGCCTATATGCATCTCTGAAGCTAATCCAGACAGGGCCCTCTGGATCCTATTTTTAATCCTAATTGATAAGTCATGTGCCTGCCTTCCAGCTATCTGCTAGAGATTCCCATAGAGACAGTAACAGCAATTAACTTAGAAGACCTAAGGACACCCGAGTACCCTTTGGAACTGCTTTTGATGTTATTGTATTGGTAAAAGTCCCTGGCTGGTGGAGGCAATAAAGAACATCGCAGTGCCTGGAAGGAGCTCAGTCCTTATCGGACACGAAGCTTTGCTGTTCATCCGAGAGAAGTTGTGCCTCAGGGTTCACTCCTGGGCAAACCACGGGGTGTTTTCCTTACTAGGTTGTTTCAATTTCACGGAATTGTTATGAGGAATAAACCCTGAGCCAAGGAAGATGGATAAGGTAGAGCCTGATAGGAAAAGGAATAAACCAGCTCTGGGTGTTCAGAAGGACAGACAATTCCTTGGGTAGTGCAGGAAGTGTGACTGATCCATTAGGTGGCCACCATGGAGCTGATACATAAACTATTGATTGCTTAAAAGTCTAAAACAGTGAAACAATTGCTCTTTTTAATTATTTTTTTAATTTATTTTATAAAGGAGTTCAATATGATTTTGTTCTTTAATGCCAGACCATTTTTCGGCAGACTGCAGCTCTTGTCAAGAAAAGGAAAACAGAAAACGTCTAATTTTAAGCTCTCAAAACAGGGAGTGGTGTTTTGAGCTCTCAGAATTGTCATCAGCCTGTTATATCCTCGTTCTAGAGGGACCTCAAAATTCCTGATACTTATCCCTTTAGGCATACAGTCTTCCCATTTCCCCCAGGCCATATCCCCATGCAAGACTTGGGCAGGAAACCAAACCCATCAGACTGATAAAGAGATTGCACTGTATCATTCCTTCTGCTGACTCAGGGTTTATGATGGCTGAGCTCATAATGAGGAAATGTGAGAGAGAAAATGGTGATTCCTGTCAAGACCAGAACATGGGCACAGCCTCACAGTAGGTAGGAGGTTTTTTTGATGGATAGTTTGTTCTGTTTATCTTGTTTTTTTTCCTAAAACAGCTGAACTATGTTATTAAAGAATAAAAGTACTCTGACACTAGATTTTTTAAAAGCCCACTGTTATAAATGTGTTATATATTGATAAACATATCAATATATGTGTGTTGGGTTTATGATTTTTATTCCCTTAAAATTTAGTATAGTTGAGTAACAGTCAACTTTTTCTGGAAAGCAATAAGAGTTTTCTACTTGCCTGGGCCACTTCTAATTCTCAGTGTGGGGGATGTAGAACTTAATCTCTTAATGCTTCCATTTTTTAGTGGCACACTGCTGAGATCAAAGAAGTTTGATATTTTTCCTTGTTACACTGGTAGCTGAGGAATGTGTGCCCAGATAGCAGTAAAATATTACAAATCAACAGTGGATGCTGTGTGGTAATAGAAACTACTGCCGGTTCTTCTATATCTCAGACTCAACCATCTGGAGAGAGAATGTATCTCTGAAGGAGCAGTGTCCGTGAACAGTCGGATTGTTAGTTCAGAAAAATCAAGGAAGAGTAGACTAACTAATTATTTTTCCTTGATCTGTGGTCGAACAGATGTAGAAGGGACCATGTAAGTTACTTCTCGATGTATTAGTGATACATTCTTAAAATTATGTTTTATATTTTAGCCTGGAGAAGAGGAGGCTCAGGGAGGACCTCACCACTCTCTACAACTACCTGAAAGGGGGTTGTAGCCGGGTGGAGGTCAGTCTCTTCTGCCATGTCTCAAGGGAAAGGATGAGAGGAAATGGCCTTTTGTTGTGCTAGGGGAAGTTCAGATTAGATATTATAAAAAAAGTTTTCACTGAAAGACTGGTCAGGCATTGGGATAAGTTGCCCAGGGAGGTGGTGGAGTCACCATCTCTGGCAGTGTTTAAGAGGTGCCTGGATGTGGCACCTGGGGACATGGTTTAAGGATGACAATCGTGGTGCTGGGTTGACAGCTGGACTAGATGATCTTGAAGGTCTCTTCCAACCTTGGTGATTCTTTGATTCTGTGATACTGTACGGTTTTTAATTAGGATTTATAGTTCAGGAAAAGAAAAAAAAAAAAACAGAAAAGAGGTAGTCGGTGTACTTCAGAAGGTAAGTCCATATGAAGAGGAGCTGCAAATAATGCAGGATTCCTGGAAGCTAAACATAGAATTGAGCAGTCCGAAACTCAAACCCTCAAAAATTACTAGATGTATTTGAATACTTGGGCTTTACAGTCTTTATGATTTCCTCAAAGTATAATACAAAGGATAATATTTCCTTGCTCACAAGAGCGTAAAGGATTAATTTGTTAAAGTTTGTGAAGCACTTGGGTGATGTGATAAAAATTTCCACTAACACAGGACTGGATTTCTGCTTTGTAAGGAAGTTTTGGGCTACCTCTTTTTTGGGGGTGGGGTTTTTGTTTGTTTGGTTTGGTTTTTTTTATTTTCTTTTTCACTTCCTTTAAAACACACTCTCATAAAATATTTAAGCTTGCAGATCTATGGGATAAGGCTTCATAAATCACCAGTATTTAGTAATTGCTGACCTGGAACACTTAGAATCATAGAATCATAGAATCATAGAATCATAGAATCGGTTGGGTTGGAAAAGACCTCCGAGATCATCGAGTCCAACCCTTGGTCCAAATCCAGTCCATTTACTAGATCATGGCACTCAGTGCCACGTCCAATCTGCGTTTAAAAATCTCCAGGGATGGTGAATCCACCACCTCTCTGGGCAACCCATTCCACTGCCTGATTTCTCTCTCTGTAAAGAATTTTCTCCTGATATCCATCTTAAATTTCCCCTGGTGGAGCTTAAGCCCGTGCCCCCTTGTCCTATTGCTGAGTGCCTGAGAGAAGAGACCAACCCCCACCTGGCTAGAACTTCCCTTCAGGTAGTTATAGACGGTGATGAGGTCACCTCTGAGCCTCCTCTTCTCCAGGCTAAACAACCCCAGCTCCCTCAGCCTCTCCCCCTAGGACTTATGCTCCAGTCCCTTCACCAGCCTTGTTGCTCTTCTCTGGACCCGCTCCAGCACCTCAATATCCTTTCTGAACTGAGGGGCCCAGAACTGAACACAATACTCAAGGTGTGGCCTCACCAACGCAGAGTACAGGGGAACGATCACTTCCCTGCTCCTGCTGGCCACGCTATTTTTGATACAGGACAAGATCCCATTGGCCTTCTTGGCCACCTGGGCACACTGTTGGCTCATGTTGAGTTTCCTGTCAATTAGTACCCCCAGGTCCCTTTCTGCCTGGCTGCTTTCCAGCCACTCTGTGCCCAGCCT